TTCTGTGTCTCCCTCTCTCTCCGCCCCTCCCCCCACTTGTGCTCTGTCTCTCTCTCTCTCTCAAAAAATAAATAAACGTTAAAAAAAATTTTTTAAGGGGCACATGGGTGGCTCAGTTGGTTAAGCATCCGACTTCGGCTCAGGTCATGATCTCATGGCTCGTAGGTTCGAGCCCTGCGTCAGGCTCTGTGCTGACAGCTCGGAGCCTGGAGCCTGCTTCGAATTCTGTCTGTGTCTGTCTCCCTCTCCCCCACTCATGCTCTGCCTCTCTGTCAAAAAGAAATAAACATTAACAAATTAAAAAAAATTTTTTAAATGAGTAAAAGTCTTTGAGAAAATTTCTGATAAGTGCAGAGTTTGAATACCCCTCCTGCATTTGTTTTTTTAGATGTTTATTTATTTTGAGAGAGAGTGCAAGTGGGTGAGAGGGGCAGAGAGAGGGAGAGAGAATCTTAAGCAGGTTCCATGCTCAGTGTGGAGCCCAATGTGGGGCTCAATCCCACAACTGTGAGATCATGACCTGAGCCAATTTCAAGAGTCAGATGCTTAACCCACTGAGCCACCCAGGCACCCTGTCTCTCTCCTGTATTTAATGGGGACTTAAAATAATTGGGATTACAGCAATGAAGAGAAGGTATATGAAACACTTATTACCTTATTGTTACATTTCTTTTATGCTATCATCTTCTGTCTTCATTGTTTATGAAGCCAGCTTGACTTGTTATTTAAAAACTTATAATTGCTGGTAGACCAGAAATCATAAGTTTTGGGGGTGTTTTTTTCCCCCACTCCAAGCATCTGTATGTAACCAATGTAATCTCAGCAACATGACACTATACAAGGTCCTGTGTGAACAAGCTAGACATACACAGATATCAGGCAGACACAGATATTATAGTTAAATATATACATATAGGGGCACCTGGGTGGTTCAGTTGGTTGAACATCTGGCTCTTGATTTCAGCTCAGGTCATGATCTCACAGTTCATGGGTTCAAGTCCTGCATTGGGCTCTGTGCTGGTGATGTGGAGTCTGATTGGGATTCTCTCTCTTCTCACCTCCCCTGCTCTCTCTCTCAAAATAAATAAACATTTACACACACACACACAGAGCAGAATATAAAGACTCACTGCTATGCATTACATATCAAACAGAGCATTCTCATCAGAGGTAGTCTAGTGAGGAGATCTAAATGGTAATTACATTTTTCCTGGGGTAAGAATTGGAGAATGAAGAGGTAAGACAAAGACTGGCCCTATGAAGTGTATAGAGGGCATGTCATCCCTGGGTTGTTTTTCTGTCACATTCCTTGTTCCAGGCAGAGAACAGATTCCATCCTTAAACTCTGTGTTTTAAGCCTCTCTCTTTCATTTCCAGTGACTGCAGTGTGGCATGGGTCTCTGCCCAGGCTCGGAATGAGACAATAGCAAGACGGCTATGGGATGTCAGTTGTGACCTGCTGGGCATCCCCATGGACTGACAGGTGGTAGCAGTTGGACTCAAGAGAAACCTATAGCAGACTACTCAGTACTCCCTGCCAAAATGATTCTCCTTCATGGTGACCAAAATCGTCAGTACAAAGAAAACAAATCTTCCAGCCTTTCCTGCTTGATATCTGACAAAAGCACCGTGTACATTGCCAGATTCATCAAAACACCTTGCATTTACTCCAGATTTAGTTTGCCCTTATTACTGTCAGTTGCAAGAGATATCAGACGATAAGATCCTCAGATGACCTGCGACCTGATATCTGCTGTCTGAAACCTACTACCTAGGAGAATCTTAGCTATGGCAAGGTCAATTTATGGTAGTTTGGATTAGTTTCTACCCTCTTTGTTCACAATATAGTTCCTCCCAACCACCATCCAACCTTCATTTCAAGAGGGCCACACTGCAGCCTCAGCCGAACTCTGAGTCACAGTGGCTGGACTCAAGAGCAGGACTCATCCCTCAACTGTTAAGAAAACCATCATATGCTAACATCTGAATTATTTCCGGAAACTCTTAACTGAATCTGGATTATGGCATGGCTTTATCTCTTGACAACCTAAAGCCACTGCTATTAAAACACTTTCCAACATCTAGACCACAGAGAAGAGCTTCCTTTTCTAAGAAGTTTGTGGGGTTCGGAGGATGGCAGAAATAAAATCAAGCTTAAACTATCATTTTCTTACTGTTTCTCAGACCAGCAAGTGGGTAAAGAAAGGGGCAGTATGGGAAGATAGATCATCTACCTGACTTTAGTTAGTGACCCCAGACCGATGGAGGCCTTTTTGTGTCTTAGTTTCTCTTAGAAAACCAGAAGAAGGAAAAGGCTATTTGGTGATTGTCACTGAGTTTATCTTTGTGTTCTTCTGTAGTCACACAGTGGGGCTTATTTTCACAGAATTCAAAATAACTACAAAGGAAGAGTATTAAACTGGACCCTGGTGGAGGCAAATGTTCAAAGATGGAGCAAACAGTGTCATCCAGTCTTTGATACAAATGAGTAGAGCAAAGGGAAGTCAACTCTGTATATATGGTTAACTACTTACCCAGAAGCACATGGGTAGCAGGGAAGAAGTCTAAAACAGAAAAATCCTGGAAGATAATGCATGCAGTAAAGGGACTAGTTAAGGACTTAAAAAAAAAAAAAAACACTAAAGATGGTAATATGTAACTGGAAGAATTGAGGGCGAGCACCTGAGTGACCAAGACTGACACTGTACTGTCTTCATAAGCACCAATCAACCAATGTGGCAGAAAAAGTCCCAAAATAACACACACCCCCCCCCAATTCTTTATTCAGCAAAATTGTCTTAAGGACGGATATTGGTAATTTACAGTCACTATAGTAATCTTTCAGGGCATTTCCTTACATTATCTTAACATGATTAAAATGTCTATTTGCTAAAAATCTACATTTAATTTGGAGAGCTTTTATCAAAAGTAATGCTGCCAAAGGAAATTGGAGGAATAATAATGTTCTTATCACTTGTTTAGACATATGTTATATGTCTAAATAGAATAACATGTTATTCTAATAGACTTTGATGTTCTTGGACTGACAATTACATATTCACTTTGGTGGGGTAAAGAGTTATGGGACCACAGTCTTCTCATATTTGTAAATGGATATTCTTTTGTTGAACGTGTTTTGACCATCAAGCTATATATTTAAAAATGGTCATTTTATGGAAAAATTGGAAATTTTTAATAGTTAAGTAGCATAACTAATATTTTACTTAATTTATGTTGAACTATCAATGACAAATAAAAAATTTTTATTATTTGTAATGTTTTTACTTACCTAAATAAAAGCTGTAAGAATTAGAGTCAATGAAAGAAAACAATTAAATGAAAGTTTAGCTATAAGAAGAAAATGCTTTTCATTATTATGGTTATACAGTCATTTCTCATTTTTAAGGATAATTTGTCTCAGAGTCTAACCACAGTATAGTCTCCATTGAAATGCCATTAACTTTGGTTGTGTGATAATTTGATTATTCATTCACCCATTTTCTGCTTTTGTGATGCTTTTCAAACATTTTTTTCCATCTCAGGCTATTATGTCCCCCTTTTGCACCTGTCCTTTCTAGAACAGAGTTGTGGGACTTAATCACATTACACTTCCACTAACAACCTCAGATTTTGCTATCTCTATATTCAATGAACATTAAGAGCTCAATGCATTTGTTGAATCAGTGGTCATGAATCAGTCTGATAAAAATAAAGTTCCAGGAGATATATGAATCATCAAATCACTTCCCCCTGAACAGTCATACATCGTTTAATATGTTTGGGAAGTTTTATATATTGGGCTGCCAAGCAAACATTTCAGAAAGGGCTTTGATAGGAAAATCATGAAATAAGTTGAAAACAGAAATTCCCTGCCATGGAACCATGAAAACCCACGTTGCAGAATAGGACTTTGTCACTGTTAACACATTACAGGTAGTGGGAAAGAGACCTGATGAAGCAGAGTCCACCTTGCTCGCCACGTTATGAAATAACCAAGCACAGAGAGTGAATTTTTTATTCACCAACATATGCCCAGATACGGCATAATGACATGCTGAACATTAACAAATACCTGCTGAGGGGCACTTGGGTGGCTCAGTCAGTTAAGCCTCTGACTTTTACTCAGGTCGTGATCTCCTCGTCCGTGAGTTCCAGCCCCGCATTGGGCTCTGTGCTCACAGCTCGGAGCCTGAAGCCTGCTTGGGTTTCTGTGTCTCTCTCTGGCCCTCCGCCACTCACGCTCTGTGTCTCTCTCTCTCAAAAATAAACATTAAAAAATACCTGCTGAGTGAATGAATGCACCAGGCGAGCACAGAGACTAGAGGCTGCGAGCGTATTTGGGGAGTCACTGCCTAGGAACTATTTCTGAAAGCATATGGCTCTGGGCGTTTGACCTCTCCAATAAAAGGTTTTTTGTTTTGTTTTGTTTTTTACCGCTGCAGGGCAAGCAAGGAACCTGCCCCAGCTCTCTCTCGAGGGCTGAAAGCTAATGTTTAGTCAGGACGCGAACTGAGGAAATGAGAGCCGCCAGACGGGGCGATGATAGCGAAGATGATTTCCAAACGCTTACAGATACCAAACTACTGCTTGTCAGCACCACCCACTGGGCCTGTAGCGTTGACAGAACCACCGCCCCCGCCAGCGCGTGACTTCGGAGTCCGAGTGGCTTCCACGCCGAACTACAGCCCCCGGCATGCACTGCAGCGACCGCCCCTCACCGGAAGGCGGGGCCCTGGAGACAGGCGGTCGCGCTGCCCGTCCCGCGAGTCCCCCACAGTCCCTTCCGTTGTGGCGCTCTCCCCAACCCCGAACTGGGTATTTCCGGGGCTTCAGGACTCCGCTCGCTCCGATGCACCACCACCCTCCCGGGAATCGCCCAGGCGGGCAGCCCACCAGACTTCCCATCAGGCTTTCGCGCCCGCCGCTCCCTCAGTGACGGTATGAAGGGGGTGGGCGTTCCGGCTCGGGAGGACCTCGCCGCGGCCCCGGAAGCGCCTCGTCCCCGGCGGTGGTGGCGGCGGTCGCCGTGATGCCTGCGGGACTGGGTGGCTGACCGCCGGGATAGGAGCGGGGCCAGTGCCCAAAATCTCGGTGGCCGCTGCTCGAGCGCGGCCTGCGCCATGGCCACCTCCGCTGCCTCTTCGGAGCATTTCGAGAAACTTCACGAGATCTTCCGCGGCCTCCATGAAGACCTGCGAGGGGTGCCGGAGCGGCTCCTGGGGACAGCGGGGACAGGTGAGACGAGGGTGGGACGCGCCGTGGGGAACTCGGCCCCTTGCGCGCTCTGGGAATACGAGCTCCCCACCCCCTTCTCAGATCGGGTCCCTCTTCCCTCCGCTGCGCATCCTCAGACACGCCCCCTAGGGTTGGCTGGGTCTCGGCGCCCAGCATTTCCCTGCTGCTCCTTGAGGGTGCTCAGGGTTGGACCTCGGAGTGTCGTCTCTTTGGGATTCTCTTACTACTGTAGCCGTCAAAATTTTCTTGTGTCATTTTCACCGTGGAAGAAGATCATAGGAGACCTTAAGTCTGTGTCCATGTATTTCAGTAAAATTGGTTTCTTTTGTAGCTGTCTGTGTATTTTGCTTTATGAATTTTAGAGCATTATTCTCAAGAGAAATCCATAGTTTTCACCAGACTGACAAAGGATCCGTAGCACCAAAAAGGCCAAGAAGCCAAAGGAAACATAATTTTGGAGTTGGTAAATGATCAGATTTTGTGGGGGAAGTGGTCTTTAAAAATCAGGATTGTGGGTTTAGGTGTGGTCCCCTTCCAAACTTTCTGTGATTTGACTTCAAAATTCAGGTTGCTGCAAGCTTTGCTTGGAGGAGTTAGTTTTCCAGTACAATCTCTAGGAAGACCTGTCACAGTTCTTTGCCACTCAGAACAAATACGTCTTGATGGCAAGACTTGATAAGACTTTATTTTGTAGTTTTTACTAAGGGTCAGAGCTTGAGTGTTTGCTCTGTGAGTTTCCTGAGGTCATATGAATTGAATAACTCTGGTCAGAATGCCAGAGAATGTTAAACATATTTATTGGGAGAGGCTGCTGTGTGCCAGGCACTCCCCTAAATGCTGGTAGTATTGCAGATTATTGCAGTGAGGAGACTTAAAATCTTTGTTCTAGTGGGTCCCTGGTAATATATAAATATTAAGAGAAGAGTTATGCAGGGCAAAGGAATGGAGAACTCTAATAGTAAACAGGGTGGCTGTGAAAGTCTTCTTTGAGAAGGTGCCATTTGAGCAGAGACTTGAATGAAGGGAGTCCAGCATGTGAAAATTTGGGAGAAGTGAGTGTGAGGAGAAAAGAATAGTATTCCAAAGTTTCCTTAAGCACAATGAGCTTGGTAAGCATTGCAAAGGTTCTTAAACAGAAATGAGCTCTTCTAGGAAGAGCAAGAAGGCCAGCGTTTGCCAGTGAAATGAGCAAAGGAGACAGTGGTAGCAGATGAGGGTAAAAAGAGTTACGCAGGGCCAGGTCACGTGTGGCCTTGTAGAGCACAGTGAAAGATTTGCACCTTTTTCTAAATCTGATGGGATGCACTTACAGAGTATTGAGCAAAAGAGTGATGGGATCTGATTTACATGGTTGAAAAATAGACCATTTTTTGCAGCCCAGTGCTGAATTAAATTTTGCAGTGGTGGTTTCTGGAAGCGTAAATAGTGCAAAAGGGCATTCCATTTTGAAAAATAGAAAACTGAGTTCTATTTGCCTTTATCATCTACCTAACTTTCTCATTGCTGCAAAGAAGATAATCAAAAAGGTGTGAATACCTAACCAAGCACAAAATACTCTTTTTTTTTTTAATATTTATTTATTTTTGAGAGACAGAGACAGAGAGCACGAGTGGGGGTGGGGCAGAGAGAGAGGGAGACACAGAATCTTTTTTTTTTTTTT